ACTGTGAGCATCCTTGAGCGTCAGCATCTAATGAAAAGGAAGACACTGTTAGATCTTTTTAAGTCTTTTCAAGTACTGGACCTATTTCAATGCAGCACACACTGGATTCAGGTGTTGCCAAGCGTTACAGTGGATTTGAAATTTGGCCAGTTATGAGAAGCATGTAGTAAATTTTATAAGACACAGAATGCTGATCTATATTTCAGCCTTAGTACATCAGAGTTGCTGGGAGTGGTGTGTTAGTTTGCTAGAGCTGCCATCACAAAGTACCACAAACTGAGTGGCCTAGAAAACAGAAACGTATTGTGTCACAGTTCTGGAGGCTAGGCTGAGATGGAGGTGTCTGCAGGGTTCTGAGGGCTGTGAGAAAGAATCTAGTCTAGGCTTCTCCGCTAGCTTCTGGTGGTTTGCTGGCAATCTTTGGCAGTCCTTGGCTTGTAGAGCATCACTCTGTTCTCTGCCTTCATCTTCACATGGCGTTCTCTCTGTGTGAGTGTCTCTGTGTCCTCTTTTGTACAAGGACACCTGGCATATTGGATTAGATCCCACCTTAATGACCTCATCTTAACTAATCTTCCAAATAAGGTCACATACTGAGGTACTGGGGTTAGGACTTCAACATACGAATTTGAGATGGGGGAGCGCAATTCAACCTATAACATATGGGCTCTGGGAATCCCTGTTTTTTCAGAAGTTCTCTGAGTAATCTGACGATTGGCTTGATTTGGAGATTCTGCATTTAGGGATCAACTTGCCTCTGATAACACTTTGGGAATCCATAAATCCTTTTTTCTAAAGTCACTTCAGGAAGCTCATGGGGCCAATCTGAAAGCACTTGAGCTCCAGACAGTGTAGCCACTCAGATGGACCATGCCTTTTGCTTCTAGGTTGATACTAGTGGACATTTTGATAGGAGGCTATTGTCTGTCATGCTGACAGCCATTCATGATGGTGCCACAGACTTGTCATTCCTCCCTGACCCATCTGGAATTATTTATCTTATGAAGTTGAAGCATATTCTCAGATGTCTCTCTTGGAACGGGAGGCCAGACATGTTAAAATATCTGATTTGTATAGCATTGCTTGATGCCCCGCATATTTTTTTAATCTTTTTATTGAGATATGCATTCATTATAATGCAAAAATCTTAAATGTACAGCTTGATGAATTTTACACATGTATGTAGTTGTACAACCACCCCCCCACAGCAAGATATAAAGTATTTCCAGCATAGTAGAAGGTTACTAGGGCCCGTTCTCAGTCATTAGCCCTCCTTTCCACCAATAGAAGGTGATTCTTTCACTATCAATTGGTTTGGTCTATTCTTAAAATTCATATACTACAATGTTTTGTGCTTGGCTTCTTTTACTCAACTTCATGTCTTTGAGACCACGTATGTTTCTGCATGTATCAGTAATTTGTCCCTTGTTGTTCTGGTATAGTATTCTATTGTGTGAATATGCCACAATTTTTTTATCCATTTTCCTGCTAATGAACATTTGAATTTTTCCATTTTTTGCTATTATGAATAAAGCTGCTACAAATATTCTTATATGAGTCTTGGTGAACATATTCAGTCCTTTCTCTTGGATACGTACCTAAGAGTCTAATTAGTTGATACTGCCAAAAAGTTTTCCAAAGTGTTTTTATGAATTTATACTCTCAGCAGCATATCTAAAAGTTCCTGTTATTCTGGGTCTTCTTCGAATGTTGGCAATGCCAATCTTTTGCAGTTTCACCATTCTTGTAGGTCTATGATGATAATCTTATGTGGTTTTCTTTGCAATTTCCTGATGAGTAATGATGTTGAATACCTTTTCATATATGCTTTTTTTGTTTTTCATTTGTTTTGCGATATGAATGTCTTCTCTTATGAACTGCCTAAGTCTTTTTGCCCGTTTTTATTGGGTCATTTGTTTTGTCTTATTAATTTGTAGCAGTTCTTATTATGTTGAATACGAGTTCTTTGTCACATCTTTCCTATTGCAAACATCTTCTTGCTGTATCTTACTTTGCACTCTTTTAATAGTGTCTTGATGAAGAGAAGTTCTTAATTTCAATGCAGCCTAATTTGTATACAGATTATTTTTTTTTATGCTTTTGTGTCCTGTTCACAAATCTTTTCCTACCTCATGGTCCCAAAGACTTTTAAAATATAGTAATATCAAATATAGTAGTCTCTGATATGCCTGATATTTTGATAAATATGATAAACTTTGCATCATACTGCACATTTATTAGCTTTTGAAGTCTTATCAATTTTTATTCATATAAATTAGATCTGATCTCTCAGGTATAATGATTGCTTATTTCTTTTAATGACAAACTGAGTTCCTTGTATGTCGCTACTGCTTTTTCTTAAGAAAATGTAAAACCTACTACTTAATCAAAAGTGCTGAACTTGAGTATACATTTTCCTATATATGTTCAAAGAAGTAATAAATAGTTGAAAACTATTTGTTAAGAAGGTAACAAGGGGTTGGCCCCAAGGCCTAATGGTTAAGTTTGGAGCACTGCATTTTGGCAGCCCAAGTTTAGTTCCTGGGCAAAGACCTGCACCACTCATCAGCAGGCATGTTGTGGTGGTGACCCACATACAAAATAGAGGAAGATTGGCACAGATGTTGGCTCAGGGCAATTCTTACTCAAGTGAAAAAAAAAGACAGGCAACAAATGTATAGTTAATGTATTATAAAGGTTGTACCGTATATATTTGTCATTCTAAGAAGTAGCACACGCACATACACACAGGGAGAGAATTTTTTTTTTTTTTGGCAAGGAAGACTGTCCCTGAGCTAACATCTGTGGCAATGTTCCTCTATTTTATATGTGGAATGGCACCACAGCATGGTGATAAGCAGAGTATGGGTCTGTACCTGGAATCTGAACCTGTGAACCCCAGGCCGCTGAAGCAGTGCCCAAAATTAATCACAGTGCCACTGCGCCAGCCCCTCAAAAGGAGAGAATTTTCTTATAGAGTACTATTTTAAATCTTTGTGGTGTTTTCTACATTTTAAAAACATTTCATTATGTGAATTTAGGACTCAGAAAAAAGTAAGGAGAGTACTATAATGAACTCCCAACTACCTATCAATCAGCTTTTAACATTTAGCAACATTCTTCTAATTTGATTCATCTCCCATCCATCATTTTTTTCTAGAGTATTTTAAAGAAAATCCCAGACGTATTTTTTTATCTGTAAATAGTTTGTGAATCTCTAACTTTAAACCTTTTTTATGTACAACTGCCATTTCGTTATCACGTTCAACAAAATTAACCATAATTTCTTAAATATCTGATACTTAGTCCATATTCAATATGTCTTATTTATCACAGTTTTTTTATAGTTAGTTTGTTCAAAGCAGAAACCAAGTAAGTCCTCATAATTGATTCTTGAGGTTCTCAAACCTCTTCTATCTGACGGTTAATTAATCATAACTTTCTGACATGGTAGAGGTAATGAGCACGTGCACATGCATCTCTGGCATATGAAGATCTATGTAATTTCTCCTTTGTCTCTATTCTTGTCCTCTCTACTTTGAACAGGTATATTAAATACACATTACATTAAAAACATACTTTGAAATAAACTACTCAGTGAAATAACATTATTATTATTTACTAAGTTTTTGTTAGACAACTAATTTAGGTAAAATTTGTTTATTTCTTTGGTAAATTTTTCTATGATGTTTCAGATGGCTCTTAAGTACCATTGAACATTTCTGTCAAAATCGTGTCCAGACATAAACAAATAGCATTTATTTTCCTGAAGCTTGATAGTTCTTGATATCAAATTCTTATATTAAAATTATATATGATATTCAAGCTTAGTAAAAGTTTATAATGCTGTAATGTTAGGATCAAGATCGAATGGCATCATAAACCACAAAATTTCTTTTTGTATCTTCCTTTATAGAATACAGACGTAACATTTTGTTTTTTAATTCTAGTTTTTGTAGGAGTTAAAACAAATCTCCAGAACATGTGTCCTTGTGTTTCTCCCTTTATTAGTCATACTTGTGCATATTGTACATGAAAATAAAATCCATTCTCAGTCTGTTTTTCTCATATCTTTTTACTAAATTTCCATTTACACCATAACTTCAATTATTCTAATAGGATCTCTAATATGTAGTTTTCCAGTTTCATATAGAAGAATAAAATATATAGTTATTTATTTATTGGTTTTTAAAGATGATTCCCCTCAAATATACATATTTCTTAGTACTTTATGATATGATCTTTGTATTATATTAAGCATTAATGAATATAAGCATAACCATACATTAAGTCATATGAAAAAGGAGAAATCATTTAAGATAGAATAATTTTATGTTTTATGGTGGATTACATGTGAGAAAGAACTCTAACATAGTTCTCACAGTTCCTCTTCAAAATCCTGTTAAGTGGTTAGGCTCATACTTTTATCTCTATTTTATAGATGAGCATTGGCCTCAGAGATGTTGAGTTTTTTGCCCAAAGTATCATCAGTTACCACTGGACCTGGACCTGGACCTGAATTTTCTTTCTCATAGTCCAGTTGTCTTTCTATTAAACCATTACTATTGATTGATTTGAGATATTTTTCTTTCAATAATGCTTAAAATTGTGTTCCAGTTTTCAGTTAATTCTTAGATAATCAGCTGTATTTTTTCTGCTTTAGTCATTGGAAATCTTTCTGAAATGTTTTCAAAACTTACTTTCTGAAAACTGAGTTTCTGATGTTGTTAATATCAGCTAAGCAAATTACAAGCAATTCACTTCAAGTAATGAGAGAGAGTTCAAGCATGCATTTTGTCATACAATAAAAGCAGAAAAGGAGTATACGGAAATTCTCCAGAATCTTTTCTTCCATGAAATTAATCAAATTTGGTTTTTCTTATATATGTCAGTTAACATGAAATGTTAGTGACATTTTAACCAAATGAAGTAGAACAGATTAACATACTTAATTCCTAATTGCATTTCATTTGTGTGGGTATTTTTATTTTGTTTTCTAGTGGCTTTTCATGGCCTACCACTGAAAATCAAGAAAGAACCCCACAGTCCGTGTTCAGAACTTGGCTCTGCCTGCAGTCAAGAACAGCCCTTTAAATTCAGCTATGGAGAAAAGTGCCTGTACAATGTCAGGTAAAGCAATCAGGTGTATATATAGAGCATAGTCGTTCTTACTGAAGCAAAGAGTCCAGAATAATATAAGATCTCAAGTCATATTTTATAAGAGTTACGTCTTCAGCATACAACAAGCTAATTAGGCAATGCGCTTAGCAGAACTCTGAAGAACCGTTTACCATCTGATCACACACTTTTAGAATCATTTTAAAGCAATAATTTTCATCCAAATTGTTAGTTGCTTTTCTGCTGTAGTGATGCATCCTGAGTTTGAAAAGAGGGTCTTACTTGGCATGGACAGCTATTGAAAGTTCTCATTAGAATGAATGCATTATGCACTTTAGATAGAGTTTGTCGAAAAAAATGAAACATTTGGCAGGTCTAAGCAGTACATTAGTCATCTGACAGTCTTCGCAAATGATCTATAAGATGTGTTCATGGACAACTGCAATAAAGTTAGAATTTTATAAAGCTTAGCAGAGGCTATTATCTATTAAAAAGCCGGTTGCTCTTTCTGATCATAATAAAGGGTGGAGCAGTAAAAGTGCATTGTTCATTTGTTGGAAAATATGATAACATATATGTTCATTAAAAATCCTTCTCAGTAAATTGCATAATTGCATAAGGAAAAAGTTGATTTTTGTATATTGAATATTATTACTCTCAAATATTGTAGAAACTTAGTTCTTAAAAGTTAGTTTGAACACTTATAAAAATGACTACAAATATTTGCAGTTTTATAAGTTGCATTTTGAGTTTACAATATATTATGATCCAAAGGCGTCTTCTATTTCCTTGTTTGTTTACTCTATGCACTTTTGGTATCCAAGGGGATATAAGATTCAAGAAACTTAGATTTATGCAGTCTCACAGCATCTGACCAATGGTTGGATAGTCTATCACTATTCGTTCTTGCAAACTTGTCTTTTATATCTGCTTCTTGAGGAGGTCACCAGAGCCTGAAATTATGAGCCACTTCAATTGAAACTACAAAGCTTTTATAAAAAATATCTCTTGCAGAAGTTAACTATTGAAACATACTGAGTTCAGATAAAGCAATACTGATCAAATTGAGTCTTATTTTACAGTGTTTTTAAGTTTTGCATTTTCTCCTTAAGAGTACTGCGTATTCACAAAATAATTATTTAACGTATCGAAGAATTTTTGATTAGTGAACCAAATAGATATAGAATTGTCGTTTCATTTCAGCATTGATCAGAAGTGTGACTATGAATTAACTATTGTTTTATATAACGTATCTGACATTCATAAATTAATAGTACAAGAATTGGCTAAATATTTTGAGGTTCTTCTTGGGGACCAATAATTCCCACATTAATATATGGATTAAATTCTGGTGCTTCTATTTCTATACAAACAATATAATTCAATATAGCATTTCATAGGAGGAGAAAAGTAATATCCTAGAACAGAAGGTATACCATTTTTTCTTGTTACATGGGAATGAGACAAGTGAACCATTTTGTAAAAGAAGTGGGTCTCGTTCAGAAATACTGATAATGGAAATAGGTAGAACCAAACATAATATGAATACTATTGCATAAGAATAGTCAGATGCCTCATGCATGCCTTCACTTCTGTGGGGTGTTTTTGCACTTGGATGTAATGCTATTGTATAGATGGAGCGACAGAATAAATTATTGCTTAAGTCAATCAAAAAAACCATTTTGGTTTTAAAGAAAAAATATGTATTGATGAATGCTTTTTATTTTAAAAAAATATAGTATTTTAACCTAGAAATACCTTTTATATTTAGAAATTTAAGTAAAATTAGTTTCAATAAAATATTTTTTAAATTACAAAAATTAGTTAAATCGTATTCCTAAGAGCTACACAAAAGAAAGCAACTTAAATTCATAAAGTATATAAAAATAAGCTTACGCATTTTATTCTTTTGTAATTTATGTTTAGAAACTAGACAAGGACAATAGGATGTTACTTTTATTTATTTATTTTTTTGAGGAAGATTAGCCCTGAGCTAACATCTATGCTCACCTTCCTCTATTTTATATGTGGGACGCCTGCCACATCATCACTTGATAAGTGATGCGTAGGTCTGTGTCCAGGATCTGAACTTGTGAACCCCAGGCCACTGAAACAAAGCATGAGAACTTGAGTACTACACCACCGGGCTGGCCCCTAGGATGTTATTCTTAACACTATTTTGTACCTATTTTTGTACCAAGAAAGTTTAAATATATGAGACATTAAATTTGTCTCATTAATCTTTATTACCCCATGTGTGGAAGTTAATGTCAAAGAAATGAAAATAAGGCAGAAGCATTGCCTTAAAAAATTCTACCACAAATAAAGGCATGCCAGATATGGTCTCCATCTTATTAAAATGATGTTAGTTCTTGCTCTAAAATATTATGCAATATGGAAGAATTATAATGTCAGGAATATTTAATAATTTAGAAAAAAATCGATCAAACTTGCTCAAGGAGACATCTCAAGAATAGATGGAAATAATGCCACTGCTCTCATAGACGGTGATTTTCCTTATACTAAGTTATTTGTATATGTAGTAAAAAAAATATATTTTATATTTATGCCATTTCCAAATGATATATTAATTATCCTATTTTTTGTTTAAGGTTATGGTGATTTTGAAGATTACATATTCTAGAATTACAAAAACCAAAAAACATAAAATTCTGACTGACTTATGACTTAAGCCTAAAATATTTTTTCTTCCCTTGGGTTGGAAAAAAAAATTTTTTTTGATTTTTTTCTTTTTTGAGGAAGATCAGCCCTGAGCTAACATCTGCTGCCAAGCCTCCTCTTTTTGCTGAGGAAGACTGGCCCTGAGCTAACATCCATGCTCATCTTCCTCTGCTTTACATGTGGGATGCCTACCACACCATGGCGTGCCAAGCGGTGCCATGTCGGCACCTGGGATCTGAACTGGCAAATTCCGGGCCACCGAAGCAGAATGTGCAAACTCAACCGCTGCGCCACCCGGGTGGCCCAAAAAATGTTTTTTTAATTGCTCCAAAGAAACAAATATTTTCTTTTCTTTGTTCCTTGGGTAGTGCCTATGATCAGAAACCACAAGTGGGAATGAGGCCCTCCAACCCCCCGACACCATCCAGCACTCCAGTGTCCCCACTACATCATGCATCTCCAAACTCAACTCACACTCCGAAACCTGACCGCGCCTTCCCAGCTCACCTCCCTCCATCGCAGTCCATACAAGACAGCAGCTACCCCATGGACCACAGGTAAACTGCAAATACTGGTTGTTTTAAAACTGTTCTTAGCAATCTTGAAAGGAATTCCTATCACCAGTTCCTAAGACCTGTGGTAGATTTAAAGTGAGCATATTAATTTTGCACATCTATGTAAAGTATTTTTGGGAAGAGCTTGCTCTATCTTTAGTTATAAATAATTTGTGGAGAAGGTCATTTATAAACATTTCTTTTATAAACATTTAAATTGGTTGCTAAAATGGAAAATTAATCTATATACTGACATTTGAACATTTCCCTTTCGCTTTGCTTGAATTAAATTGCTTCACTTAAACTTTAAATCAGATCATCCCATTTTTATGAGCATATGTGTGTTCTTGTTCTATAAAGTTAGGAGACTAATTTTAGTAGGTGGCTTATGGAATTAGCTTCTTTACCTTAGATTGAATGATTTAGCTGTACATAGTTTTGCAGCGTAGAACTTATTTGATTAAAACTATTTTCCATGCTTTCCAAGTGATGAATATTTAATGTCAGCAGATGCAGGACCCTGGATACTGAGAATATAAAGTTAAAGAGTTAGAGACTGAATTAGTGTTCCTTAGAAAGACACAAGGTAAGAACCAGAGTGCGGAGCTGGGGAGAATGCTGTAGTGGGTAATTCTTGACTCCTAGAGATGAATAAATTCATATTTAAATAAAACATTGGAGGACTTAGAGTTCTTAATGATACAACTTAAAACACACGTTGATTGTCTGCAGCATCCTTCCCTCCCCTTCTACCTTGTACTTATATAAAGTCTGTAAATGTGGAACAACAGGTTCTGTGGGAGAAAAACCAAAAGACTTCATCTGTAGCATTTGATGAGTCTGTGATGTAAATATCCCCCCCATGGCCCACTCCAGGCTGTCAAGGTGACAACCCTGAATGTAGAGTTGGAAAGAGATGTGCAGTAGTGCACCATTATTTAGTGTTTCTGCCATACCGATACAGAAATAGACATAACCTCAAGAGCATAGTTAGAGTAAAATGTAGTAAAATAATTAGGAAGCAATGAGTTTCGAGTATTTGTTGCCTTTGTTATAATTTTTAAAAAATTATTAATTTACGTAATCCAATTGTTAATAATGGATGTGTTTAACACTTAGCTCACAAAATTCCTGAAAATTTAACAATAAGCCAGTACAAACTGGCTCTGACACACCATTATAAAAATAACTCAACCAAAGGAATCCTCTAGATCAGCAGAGGAAACCAGAAGAAGTGCTACTAGCAACTTTCTGAAAATAAGGGAATACTCAGATCTGCTTTTTATAGTTTATTTAATGGGACTCAACCTCACTTTCAGTAACTCTCTTTCGGTATGAAGGGATAAGATGAAGATGTCATTCTTTCCGATGTAAAACTAAATCATATCTTTTCTACCTTTGTTTCCATCAAGTCCTCTTGTACTTTAGTTATGAAATGTTTCCTATTATCTTTCCCTCCTCACCCCACAGACTTGAAACCTTGTCAGAGGGTGATGGTATGCGCATCTGTGTAAACAGTTTTGTAAATACAGATGAAAGAAATCTTATTGCAGGGTGGGCCATTCAACAGATGCACATTGTGCAGGACTAAAAGGGAAAAAGAGTACAAACAAGAAAGCAAGTTTTATTTTGTCCACTTCTGTGACTTCCCAGATTTCTTGATACCTGAATCTCTCACCCTTGAATTGAGTGCCAGAATTCTAGATTGCCTAGTATGCCGTTCGTGCAAAACAGCTATGGAAGGTGACTGCTGATCAAGCAGTATGCCTGTTCTGAGGTGACCTAACTTGAAATGCTTTAGCCAAATCCATTTTAGTTTCTCTACTTGAAGTCAAACATTGGAGACTGAGAACAGCCGGCCCGGAACTATAAGAGGGAAGCTCGGGGTCTTTTCCCACTGCCCCCCACTGAGTTGTGAGGATAGTACCAGCTGGCCAATCCCAGGAAAATCTCTGAAGCCGTATGTTTCTGAGGAGGATTTCTTGGAGGGCTCTAGCCAACAACTGACAGTCCCTCAGTTATAAATGGCAAATTTGCTCTGGGAACAGATCCTTTCCTCAAATAGCCCCCTCCAGCCCTGGCACCCCACCTCACTCTGGGAATGCTTTATGGCCAACAGGGCTGCACCCTGCTTCCTCTCCTGAGGCTCATTCTGCTCCTCGGGCCAGCCCTTTGGCACGGTTTCCTGAACCCACTGTTCAGGAGCCCTGTCTCTTTTTCTCAGTGTTTCCTGCCACTTGTATATACTGTTTTTCTTTATCCAAGAGTTCATCAGCATGCTCTCCTTACCCATTAACCCGCTTCCAGAAGCTTCTTGAGTCACTTTCTTTTTACGGTTGGTCAGTGGCTGATAAGATTGGCACCAAACACTTGTAGCCTCCTATGAAGCATGTATGTTTGATATATACGTGGTCCTCAGCAAGTACTGAGTAGAATCAGGTCAACTCGTAAAAACAAATGGCTCGCTTCCTTACGAAGCTTTTAGTACAAGTATTATTAACTTCCTTTTAAGGCTTCACAAGTGAGCTGGTTTCTTATTATAACTTCAAGTTACAATTTTCTGATTCACTCCTTGACAGTTCTTAATGATAATTTCTGTTTCTTTTTTTGGCTAATGAAATAAGCAAGAGAAGGGAAATGAATGCAGTGCCAGTCAGCCTAACTGTTTTGCGATATCTGAGTCTCTAAGTTTGTTTTCTGCAGGTGTAGGTGAAATTTCATTGCTTTCCATGGTAGCTGGTGAGGCTAGAGTTAAATCACAGTATGGAGTGTTCTTAGAAATGCTTAAGCAATTGCTTTGCCTTTCTTTAGCTTTTACCTTATTTCTATTTAACATTACCAAAATTAAATGTTAACTTTCCAAATTAAAGTCTCAGGAATGCTTTTAGTGTTGGTGGGGGGAGTTAACAGGCTTATATTTGCTCATAGAAATGTTGGATAGGTTATTTTGAAGCACTCTTGGGGCATTTTTAGACCACTTTTAAATCTTTAATTAATCTACATCTTTGTGGTGGGTCAATGATATTATGGATGAGAAACACAGAACCAAACGATTATGTGAGTAGCCAATCATTACACAGTATAACCAAGAAGGAAGGAACACAGAGACTCACTCTCAGCCTTCTGCCAAGGCCTCAGAACTTCCTCATTACCTACAGCGTGCCTTGTCCCAAATCAATGCAACACATACACATTATTTTCATCTTTGCAGGCCTGCTGCGTATTATATGCTTGTTTTTATCATCCTGATATTTTGTTTGGAGTTATTGGAAGCCAATCTGTTCTGTGTTGCTATTTGACAATAAAAAGGTGGTCTTTTAAGGGGCTGGCCCCGTGGCCGAGTGGTTGGGTTCGCGCACTCCGCTGTAGGTGGCCCAGTGTTGCGTTGATTCGAATCCTGGGTGCGGACATGGCACTGCTCATCGGGCCACGCTGGGGCAGCGTCCCACATGCCACAACTAGAAGGACCCACAACGAAGAATATACAACTATGTACTGGGGAGCTTTGGGGAGAAAAAGGAAAAATAAAATCTTTAATAAAAAAAAAAAAAAAAGGTCTTTTAAAAGCCAGCTTGGATTTCAGTCTCTGTAATGTTTCCCAGTTTCATTTCTCACTAGAATACCATGTGATTTAGGACACTGTTGAAGATTTGAATCCTCCCCATTTGAGAAGAGAGTCATTTCTCTCTTGCTTCCTCAGTAACTGCTGGTAAGGGAAGGAAAACCTTCCCTTTTATTTGGTTGATTTGTTTGTTTGTTGATTAGTTTGGTAACAGAATAAAAGGGGATGTAGTTTAAGATTAGATTCTTTCTGTTTTTCCTGTTTTTTTCTTGTATATGATTATTTGAGACCCTCTTAATATAGAAATATGGAAAACGATCCAACTGATTTAGAATTGGGCATTTTAACTGTCAGGATACATATTTTCTCAAAATAGTGCACTGCTCTCCTATCACTACTCGAAGCACATCTTTAACTTATTGCAATGTGCTGAAATGGTGCTGCAAGAGACTAGTGAGGGAACACAAGTCAAATTATGATTAAAAAGCACAGTGCTACTTACCCAGGAAGGAGAAATTTGGTTTTTGGTAAAGATTCACACTTCAGGTCGGTTAGTATCATGTTCATTACCTAAGTAGTTAAAAATCATGCCAGTATTTTAAAGAGTATTCCTTGTTACCATTTTATTTGAAACATGCTCTCTTATTTCCTAGATTTCGCCGCCAGCTTTCTGAACCCTGTAATTCCTTTCCTCCTTTGCCGACAATGCCAAGGGAAGGACGTCCTATGTACCAACGGCAGATGTCTGAGCCAAACATCCCCTTCCCACCTCAAGGCTTTAAGCAGGAGTACCACGACCCAGTGTATGAACACAACACCATGGTTGGTGGTGCAGCCAGCCAAAGCTTCCCCCCTCCTCTGATGATTAAACAGGAACCCAGAGATTTTGCATATGATTCAGGTAGGCCCACGCTTTATGTTACAATCAAGACATCTTTTTACTTGCTTGACACTTTGATTAGTGTTGGCGCCAGACTGGGTGGCTCCTGACCATTTTTTGTGGAATCTTTCCGATTTTATCCCTTCTTTGAATTTTTCCCCTGTCTATGGAGGGTTGGAGTATCAAACCATTTTGGCATGAGCTGATAGTTGAAATAGTGTCTATAAATGAAACCAGTCCAAAAAAGTGCAATTTGTAAGATTAAGCACACTCTCAGCCTCAGAGAGTAACATTGTCATTCTTTTCTTGATTCTGAGCTTTCTTTCCATTTTGCTACAGCAGCGCTATTTAATAATTTAATAACAATTTTACAGAAAGCAATATTTTTCTGTACTAGGTCACATTGCTTAGAACTGTTTATTTTTTCTTTCATTGGTGGCAAGATTTCAATTGTCCAAAAATATAGATTCTTACGTATTAGGAGAGGAATAGCAAAAATAAAGATTTATGGTTTATTCATGGAGATTAACTTTAGTCTCACTGAGCCAGAAAGGCCCCACGAAGTAGTATATCAAGACGGAGAAGAGAGGTTTCCTGAAAGTAAGGAGCGCTTAAATCTATCGCAAATGTTACCACCAACTTTGCCAGCATTTGACCTTGAGACCTTAGAAGAATTACTTTAACTCATCTGTGCCCAGTTTCTCCTATTATAATATCAAAATCAGGACATCTGCTTTTCAAACATCTCAGGAATTTTGAAAAATGTATGAAATAAAAGCTAATGCTTATAAGAAGGGCATTGTGTACTTGCGAAATATTAATATTATTATTGTAATTGGTCAGTAGATTGTTGTGGACTTGGAAGTATTTGAAAACAACGTAATTTCCTTTTGGGATGCAAAGTTATGGATGTTCTTTATGAAGGAACCATTGCTTCTCTTGAAATAACTCTGCTGAGTTTTTCTATCAGTTCTACTTGAGGAAAGAAAATTGTCTCTAGGTCTTGAATTTTCAACTTGCATAAAATTACCTGCTTTGATATGAACTGCCCTTAATGCTCACCAAGAGGGAGCCCTACTGCAGAGAGTCTCCCTCTGGCCTCCTTTCCTCGTTTGGCAAGAAGGTTAGAGGACTGAGAGGAATTGCCCACTCAGAGGCCACGCCTCCACTTCTAGAAAGAGTACCAGCTACCCAGGACCCATGAATTCCCTGCTCAGTTGGCCCTGAGTCCACTTCCAGAACCTGAGCATGTTTATCCCAAGCGCAGTTTTCTGAAGGCGGAGCAGACTGCTCCTGTGGATGCCCCTAGGTCCTAGGAGGTGGCCAAGGGACAGCTGTTTGTGGGAGGATGAGGATGGAGCTTGGATGCGCCCATATGCCTGTGTGTGAGGTGCCCATGGTGTGGCACAATGTGGGGTCAAGGAATAGGAAGAGAGGCAGGAAGTGGGGTGGGCTGGGGTCTGAAGACTGGAAACTGGCTCCATGCTATCCTATTCCAGTGCAAATCTTAGAGATTTCCCCAAATTCTAGATTTGATCTGACATTCCAGGTTGCTATGATGGTATATATTCAAAGATTGGGAGGAGAGAATATATTTATTTATCAGTTTGTTTGACTGGGTTTTAATTTTAATAATTTAAACATATGAGGTGAAGGCCTTTATTTGGATGATTGCCCCAGGCCCTGTAGTTTGGAGACTATCTTGAAATGTGCCATAGTGGTTTCAGTTTAGAACCTTTTATGTTTGCCCATAATTTACATCAATAATTAAGAATCTTGCAATACAATGGACTTTATTATAAACCAGATTCATTTTTCTCTGTAAATTTCAAATCCTGCTAACTGATGTTATCCTTATTCTCTAAACCACATTTTAATTTGATGCATCAATTTAAATTGATGTTTTTCTAATTCACCATGATTTCAAGAAACTTCACATGGAAATCATATAAAATAGCCCAAATAATTGGTTCAACCGGATTGTAGAGCATAGCATTTAAAGTTCCTTTGTGTGTTCTAGAAATGTTTTTATACGTATAATCCCAGTAAGATTAACATTGAAACCATTTTCTTGATTCTTTGGTATATACACAAATACATATGCACATACATACATATTTTCTCCTCATATTTATATTGTGTATAAAATTATATGTGACATAGTGTTGAGGATATGTAACTCTTCTTGAGAAGATGTGAACCAAATAAGAAGGAGATTTAAATAATCCAATGAGGGCAAAAAATAGGAGCTGGTGCTGTAATTTAATTGCATTATTTGTGAGCCATACAGAATATAAACTTCAGAGTCAGTTACTGTCCAACCCTCAAAAGCACAGATTCAGTCACTTATAACCTAAAAAGCATAGCTCATGTCTTAGCTCAGGCTGCTATAATAAAATACCATTGGCTAGGAAGCTTAAACCACAGACATTTATTTCTCACCATTCCGAAGGCTGGGAAGTTCAAGATCAAGGTGGCAGCAGATTCACTTTCTGGTGGGGGCCCTCTTCCTGGCTTGCACATGGCCACTTTGTCAATGTCCTCACGCAGTAGAAAGAAAGAGAGGAAAGGAGGAATCCCACCATGGGGGCCCCACCCTTATGACCTAATCTAATCCTAATTATCTCTCAAAGGGCTCATCTCCAAATACCACATTGGTCATTAGGGCTTCAAAAATGAATTTTGGGGGGCACAATCATTCAGTCCATTACAGTCCACTATATTTTAAAGGTATGTAGGGCATCTCTTTTATAAGTGTACCATATACCTTGCAAATGATTTGTGGAACACTTGTTTAATATTTGAGAAGCTATTAATTTATGTTACTTTCTCCCTTCTAAATTATATTTCAAATGGCCGAAGTTGTATGATACCTTTGAATTCCAGTTTCAGTATTGCCAATAGGATTCAGTTCTGTTTTGCTTGAATAAATGGTAAAGTTGTGTCTTCTGAATGTGGTCTAAAAGAACTGAAGCAACAGTGTAACCAGGGCCTATGAAAAATTAATCTGTGCATATCAAAATGTATTTTACTGGCCACCAAATTGCTGCAATTAAGTTGACATGTCTGTATATGTCATACACTGCAGTCAACAAGTCTGATCTCCAGGTGTTTTGTTTTGTTGTCGTTAGTTCTTTCATCCTTGCTGAGAGTACATTAAATAACCTTTTTAGGAAATCTAATGTACTTATCACTGAATCATTGATTTCTTGGTACACTTGTTGATATTGAACAATAACACACTAGAAAATATTTTATGTAATTTAAAAACAATGCGCAAAAAGGGTCATAGTCAGTTTTCTTAGCATCTATGATCCAAAGGTTGTCCTTTCAGAAGGCCTCTAGAACTTTTTATTGTTTAATTCAATATAACGTAAATGTTGTGAAAATAAAAGAAGCTTTGTAAGTGAAAAGGCAGCATGATTATGCTCTAATAAAGCCTGACGTTAATTATGACATGGGAAATGGAAGGTCTATTAGTTGTAATTATAATTACAGGAATGCAATTTCAACTGCTGGGTATTTAAGCTAAAAAAATGCAAAATAGTATGTTAGTAGAGTAGAAATTTTTATTCAGGAGAAGAGAAAAAAACTTGAATCAGAAGACACCAAAGTGATAAAAAAATGACATTTAGGGCTAATTTGGTGAACCAGTACAGTGTGATAGTGATTATATTATGATATTAAATTCTAAACAGTCCAATTACATTGATTATTGTTGTTTTCCTTTTCTTCTCTAGCCTAATAGTGCTGCACAAAGCAGTTTGTATGTTTTTTGTTGGTTGGTTGGTTTTTCCTGAATCCAACACGATTTTCTCTTTCTTGCCCCTATGGCGAAGTGACTATATAAAAAGGATTGAGTGCTTCATTTGGAGTGCCTTATGCACTGCCCCCTTTTCATAGAATCATGGTTATTTTGTCGTTTTCATGCTTGCATATGGGGTTTTCCAGGCTCAGAATGCCCAATAAGGCAAATATTTTAGATATTCACAACAGCATATTTTATTAGAGTTGTATGTGTTCTTTGATTGGTTGGTGTTTTGTTTCATTTTTAATTTATTTTTGATAGTTTAGGGTAGTATTTTTAGGAGGAGGTAGGCCCATGAAACTAAAGTTTGACTCAAGAAAATACTAGCATGCAACGTTCATACGCTTTGATCAGGTAATTTCACACTCAGGAAATTATCTTAAGGAATGAAAGACACAATGAATGTTTGAGAAAGAGAAATGTTACAAATATATAGTAATTGAATGGTAAAATAGGTATGGCTATCTATAACAGAAATATTATTACAGCCATTAGAGGTCAGATTTTTAACAAATGTTTAATGAAGTGAGACTATTGAATATATATATATGTAAAGCATAAGTGATTCAAAATAAGACCCAGTACAGAAATGCCGTGGCTATCTGTGGGTGGTGATATTATAGGCAATTTCTATTTTGTCTATAAAGTGCCTTGTATTTTAACAATGCTTACGCACTACTTTCCTGAGCAGACAGAATAAGTGCGTTTTAAAATAACCCATTTAGAGTTTAAGAAGAGAAGTGTCCAAATTAATCACAGCAGTCCTATAAGTGAAAAGAATGCTAAATAAAGGATGACATTATATTCTCATTCGTTGCAAACCTACCTGACTTTGCGTTAGTTTGCGTCCAGGGCTGCCTTAGAGGTGGGAGGAGAATTAATGTGCTCCTTGTGGGTTTCAGGTTCCTCCCTGCACAGTGCTTATAGTCCCACCCACTGTTGGTGCTGTGCTCCTTTCAAGTTGGAGTGCATTAAAATCTTAACCTAGGAGTTGATTGGAAGGACAACACGTTAATGAGGTGTTTTTAGTCTTGGAGGCCCCTTCTATTACTCTAATGAGTTTCAAAGTTGCCTCCCAGCCATGTGGTGAAGTTTAATCTAAGAGCTGGAAATAATGAGTGGGAAAGGAGAACTTTCAGGGATGTGATGAAGGTTGCTGAACTGAGAAAATGGGGGAAAGTGCATACCTTGAGCTTCAGAAGAGGAAGTAGTA